ACATCCCCCTTCTGTTCTGTAATGTGATTTGTCCTTTTCATGTGTGTTCATTTTTTTAAATTGTATCCTTTGGTATATATGGTTGTGACTTTTTTCTTCCATTATTTGATCTGAGGAAGTGGGTCTGGCCCACGAAAGCTCATCATCTAATAAACCATCTTGTTAGTCTTTAAAGTGCTACATAGTCCTGTATTTTGTTTCAGCTACACCAGACTAACACGGCTACATCTCTATCACTGTTCCGAGAATAGCACTCACAGTAGAACTTTCAGCTGGGACCTGGGAAAGCAGTGGGAGGAAACCTGGGGAAGAAATTCATCCAGACCAGCACCAAATCTTAGAGTTTGACCTTGTCATGTTCTGTGGCTTGGCAGCCATAATCTGCCCAGCAAAATGGACATTAAAAGGTCTAGCAGGAAAAAAAATGTGTAAATTCATAGCCAAGAATCCGCCAGTCTCTTGGCTAGTGGCTCTCCTGCATAGCTCGCCTAACAAGATCCACAGAAAGATCTTCATCCAGCCTCATGAGAAATAGCTTCTTATGGTTGATGTCGGCGGGGCTAAGTGTAAGTGACTAAATGATTGACAGGTGGTCAATGCAGAACTTTGTTCCGTACAAGCGGTGATGCTGACACTCCGTGCATATCTGGAGAAGAGTCTAACCTCGACTCACTTCCTGCTGCCAAAACAGACTTCTCACGGCAGGTGAGTTTTAACTGCATGGTGCTCAACTGTTGCTGAGCCTCCTAGCTTATATCAAGGTGCCAAAGCAGCCCCAACATCAGTATCCCACCACTGTCCGGTGCGGATGCCCTTCGCTTCCCTGTCTGGCCTTTCACAAGAGAGGTAAATTACTTTAACACCTGTGAAACAGACACAACTTGACCATGGCCGTTAGCCCTTCCTGCATGTGTGAATGGAAATGGCCTGCCTACGGGGCTTGAGAATTGGAGCCTGGCAGGAAAAGAACTGGTCAGCAGGGAGACACCAGTGTGTTGAAAAGGATGTGCTAGCTTAGGTGGAGGTGGGGAGCAAACTGTCTGCTCGTCTGAAGACAAGGGCGAGAAAGAGAGACCCAGAAATAAACAGAAAACAAAACCGGCGAAAAGGAAATCATCTATGGAAATAAACTGCTCCCTGCAGCTGCTCGGTGGAGCAAGCAACGTGCGAAGCAGATTATGCCTCTGCCTGGAGTGCTCTCGGAGATGACTCAGAGTCATAGCCACAATGGTGGCGCTGATTTCAGAGCACTCGCACCACTGATCTGAGACAAGCGCCAGCTCCTGTTTAAATTGGAGCTGTAGTAAATGCGATTCCTTTTCCTGAAGTGGAGCAGGTTTGGCTGGGGCTGATGAAGGAAGAAATACGGATAGCGTATAAGAAATAAGGTGTGCCCAGTGCAGCCTTGTATGTGGCTATTGAAAGGGAGAGACAAGCTGTTGTCAGGGTGGAAAGTCAAGCTGACTCCTGCAGATACAGGGACACTGGAAACAGTTAAAGGCCCTTGTGAGGACTTTAGCGACAGGCTGCACTGGGCACACTGTCCTTATCCATATTTCTTCCTTCATCAGCCCCAGCCAAACCTGCTCCACTTCAGGAAAAGGAATCGCATTTACTGCAGCTCCAATTTAAATGGGAGCTGGAGCTTGTCTCTCAGCTCAATGGGGCATGTCTGCACTAGGAAGTCATTTCAAAATAACTACATTTGAAATAATAACTCCCGAAATAACAAAATTGAAATAGTGTGTCCCCGCTACAGGGGAGTCTCGAAATTAGTCTGTGGCAGGCTCCCTTACTGTGGATGTGCTACCTTGACATAGAGCCCCAGGAAGCACTGGGGAGTAATTACTTGGAATTACTCTGGGGAGTTGTTATTTCTAAATAGCTGCGGCAGAGTGTCCACACTAGCGCTATTTTGAAACAAGCGTTGTTCCCTGAGGAAAGCAGGAATACAGATTTTGTAATAACCAGCCTGTTATTTCAAAATAACAGGTTTGGTAGTGTGGATGCTCTGATTATTATTTTGAAATAAGGGGGATTATATAGAAATAACTCCATAGTATAGACCAGGACTTGTATCCGCCCAAGGCTCTGCTTGTGGCCTAAGCATTCAGTTCTTCTTGCCGAGGACCTGGGTTTGTCAATGTTACAATTGCAACAAGTGAATCCTGGGCAGAGGCAAACCACTGAGAAGGAAAGTGAGAAAGCTTTCCTGTATTGCCTGGGAATACATTTTAATCTCCTAATTCATGGGCAATAGAAAGCCTGCAGTACTTTGCCTGCCCCAGTCGGAGCAATGGCTAATCCCTGCTAACATTCAGGAAAGCTAGGGGCTGTAGTTGGTTTTTAGGTGGATTATAAGATCTTTGAGAGCAGATGGGAAAATGATGGAGCTGAAAGCCTCCCCTCCTTATGAGCAAAATACATTGAGAATTGAATGTAACTAGTGAGCAGATATTGGAAGCCAGCTGTTTCAGAGCAGTGCAATTTCCTCCTTCAGGAGGGAGCAAGATTGGGTGGCCCCATGCAGTGGTGGGGACCTGGGGTGTCCGGTCAGGTGTGGCTGAGAGCATGGCTGTGAACTGTGGGAGGCTTGTCTCTCACAAGACAAAGTGACCAAGCTGAGCGCTGAATTTTTCTTCCATGAGTAGTTACGTAATGAGCCTTAGATCTTGCTCAGGCTGGCAATGGCCAGGCCCTTATTTTAAAAATCTCAGTATCGTGGTTATAAAAACACTAGAGAATTCAGCATCGGTGCCAAGTCTGGGTTTTTCTCGGGGATAGTCCTGAAGACTTTGAACCACTCGGAAAAATGTTGGAAGCTTTCCTAAGAAAACACAGGGAGGCTCTGATTTTGACACATCCCATTTTGACCTGGGCAGCGGTAGGGATGTTAAAATGCATGTATTCAGGGAAAGGATCTTGCCAGCCTGAGCAAGATCTAAGGCTCATTACGTAACTGCTCATGGAAGAAAAGTTTGCACGTGGGGCAGGGGAAGATGGCTCTCCAGGAGCTGGTGCATGTGGGGAGCTGACTGATACCTAGGAAGCAGCATGGTGGGGCAGGTGGGAGCCAGTGCTCGCAGGGAGCCAGCTTTTAAGCCAGCTCCCTGTGAGCACCAGCTCCTTCCTGCCCCTCACTCCCCCGCCCCCCCACACACAGCTGCCTCTGATACAGAGGCAGCAGCATGATGGAGGAAGGGCTGCATGTAACCATGAAGATTTACCTTTTACACGTGTACACTATCGCAACCCTAGGCAGGAGGCAGTTGCCATTCTTGGCAGAGGATTTGGCAGCCACAGAGGTCTCAGTGGGACCATTGCCCATTTCAATTCGAGAACAGAAACCTTTCGTTCAGCCTCGTCCTTGCAGTATGGAGAGTGCAGAAAAGCCATTGCTGTGAGTCAAGGGAGTGAGGGAGCAACCAGAGAATTTGTTCTCAGTCCTGGGCTACTCTAGAAAATTGAATTGACTTAACTATGTCATGCAGGGGGAATCCACACCCCTTGGTGAGTTGACCTAACTCCCAGTGTGACAGCACCAGGTTGACGGAAGAATTCTGTTAACCGAGCGGCCGTCTCTCGGGGCATCGGCATAGGCGGTGTCCTCGCTGAAGTGCGAAAGTGGTGCAGCAGCTGCATCTTAAGTGTAGACAAGCCCTTCTCCCCGTATTTAAAAAGAGGCTCAACTCCTAACTGGGGTCGTTGTTCCCTGGGAAGCACTAGGTCACCTCTCACTGAATAATGCCGCTCCCTTTACATATTCAACTTGCAGATGGTATAGGCCCAGGGACAGAAATTTCCCTCAGGTGTGCTAAACATTTCAGGTGATGATTGACACGTTCTCCGTGACATTTGTATGATTATTAGTCTCTTCTCTGTGTGCTGTTCGGCGGACAGCACTGGTCATAAAAAGCAGATCGGAGCAAGTTTGGCTGGTGCCCCTGGTGAGCAGGAGAGAGAATGGGCTGATTGATGACCCCTGGCTGTTTTCTGGTGCTGCAATTGTTTTTTATGATGTCATTAGGAGGCTATAGTCACATTAAGGAATCCCTCATGACATCATAAAGGACTTGATATTTTGCTAATGTTGTTTCAGCGGAGTGAAGCTCTGGCATTTTATAGTCCTTGTGTTCCCCAAAGAGTGAGGAGTTGTCTAACTACAACCTGGAAGAAATGCAAAAATAGTCAAATGCCGACTCCAGAAGTCATGGCTGGAGAATGCTAATATGTTTGGTGCTTTCTGAGCACCTTTAGGTGGAGTACATGCCGTGTTTTTAAAAGATGCCGCCGATGAGTGTGTTTCCTGACACAGGGAAAGGGCAAAGAGCCTTTCGCGTTTACTGGTACGTAGCCAAGAAATGCAACTCACTGGGTCCTGTTTCCCATTGTTGGGAGGCATTGGGGTTATCGGCATTGGAGCCCTCTAGTGCCATGTTCCTCTCAGTTCCTGGCATAGAATTGCTACGCTCCCTGGCATAGGAGGGTAGGCAGGAAAACTCTGGAAGGGGAGGCAAAAACTCAAGTTTCTGAATGCACGAAGAAGCAGAAAGTAGCAACCTCGGTGTGCTGAAAAGCCCTGATGTTTGCAGATGCCCTGTGTATGTGGGGGGAAGGTACTGAACGTGCTGGTGGTGGCTTGCGTCATGGGGCCGACTGACTGTTATTGGAGCATGCTGCACCAAGAGCAATGTTTGGTG